TCATACCTTTCCCAAGAGTATTAGCACGTAAGTGAATGTAATGGATTCGACTAGAATTCGAACTCGGCTCTCTGATTCCTCAATCCGAGCCACTATCCATTACTTGCACGTAGTAGACTAATAGATATGTGAGATATATTCCGGTAGATAATAGAAGATCTCTCAAGAAAGGTGAAATGTTTCAAGAATATTTATACAAGTTTACAGTAAATGATCTCGGTGGTTGGTTGTTTAATTTTGTTAACGGCTTATCAACACTTCTATGGGTTATTTAATGCCCAAATCTAAATAATTTAAACAATTTTATGACTTGAACTAAATATATTTTGAACGCAATTGTATTTCTTCATCATAGTCGTTATCATCATCTCCATGAATTTTGCAAGCGTAGGCCGAATCCGAATGCAGAAGCCGCACCAACTCTTTTCCACAACGGTCTATCAACGCCATCGGCAATTCTGGTACAATCATACATGTCCAATGTTTGACATTGTCCAACCAGTTTTTGCGTTGGCGTTCTCTCCTACGTCTAATTTCAACGGTGCCTTTCATGATGGTCTTGCACAGGCTGCCGTGCATTGTAATGTCTCCAAATCACGCCCTTTTTTTCTCCGTTTCACAGTGACGAGAAGTTCCTGAGGACCCACGAAACTTTCAAACTTTTCCCGGTTTTTTGTTCCCGATAGAAAATGCCAGGGAGTTTTCTCATGCATTTGTTCACAAACGCTTGGATCCTTCTCTCTATATCTGCCAACGGTGTCCACATTTCACATCCATATAGGAAAATGGAGACTACCCGTGATTTGTACAGTATGCCTACAAATACAGATAAAATTTATTGTTGGTCATTTTGTTATAAAATATATTGTTGCTTATTCTACAATAAAATTTATTGTTGGTCATTTTCTTATAAAATATATTGTTGCTAATTCTACAATAAAAATTATTGTTGGTCATTTTCTTAAAAAATATATTGTTGCTAATTCTACAATAAAATCTTTTGCTGGTCATTTCGCTTTAAAATCTTATTGTTGCTAATTTTACTATAAATATGTATCGTTGCTAATGTTACTATAAATATGTATTCTTGTTAATTTTACTATAAATAGCTATTGTTGATAATTTTTCGGTTACTTTTACGATAAAATGTATTTTTATAATTTCATTGTGCTTTGTTTTTGTTTGGGGGCATTATTTGGCCATAGCTGGGACAATAACAGATGCTACCCACCCACCCGGGATCAGGGTGGAACTGGGAACAACACCAATTACGGGGTGTTTCCACGCTCCTGAAAAACCTGCAATCTCCCGACCAGAGGCCTTGCTGCCCGAAGGGTAGTCCTGAAACAACAATTAAGAGGTGGTTCCACGCTCCTCAAAGCCTCCAATCTCCCGACCAGAGACCTTACTGCCGGGAGGGTAGACCTGGAAACAACAACAAAGAGGTGTTTTCACGCTCCTTAAAACCTCCAATCTCCCGATCAGAGGCCTTGCTGCCGGAAAGGTTGACCTGGGAACAACAGCAATTAAGAGGTGGCTCCACGCTCTTCAAAACCACCAATCTCACGGTGAGGGGACTTGCTGCCGGAAGGGTGGACCTGGGAACAACAGCAATTACGAGGTGGTTCCATGCTCCTCAAAACCTCCAATCTCCCAATCAGAGGCCTTGCTTCCTTAAGGGTGGACCTGGGAACAACACCAATTAAGAGGTGGTTCCATGCTCCTCAAAACCTCCAATCTCCTGATCAGAGGCCTTGCTTCCGGAAAAGGTGGACCTGGGAACAACAGCAATTAAGAGGTGGTTCCACGCTCCTCAAAACCTCAATCTCCCCGATCAGAGGCCTTGCTTCCGGAAAGGTGGACCTGGGAACAACAGCAATTAAGAGGTGGTTCCATGCTCCTCAAAACCTCAATCTCCCGATCAGAGGCCTTGCTCTCAGAAGGGTGGACCTGGGAACAACAGCAATTAAGAGGGGGAACAATGCTCCTCAAAACCTCCAATCTCCCGATTAGAGTCCTTGCTTCCTGAAGGGTGGACCTGGGAACAACAGCAATTAAGAGGTGGTTCCACGCTCCTCAAAACCTCCAATCTCCTGGACAGAGGCCTTGCTGCCGGAAGGTCGGATCTGGTAACAACAGCAATTAAGAGGTGGTTCTACTATCCTCAAAATCTCCAATCTCCCGATCACCTTTATTGATTCTGGAAGGTTGAACCTAGGAACAAAATCAGATAAGAGGTTGTTCCACACCCCTCAAACCTACAATCATGGGAAAAACAGTAATTAAGAAGTGTCTCCACACTCTTCAAAACCTTCAATCTTCCGATCAGTGGCCTTGCTACCTGATGTACTTTATCGTCATACCCAGGACTGTGCGTTTCAGGTACCTCTTGGAAACGTTCTTGAACCGTAGAGCAGGCCGGCTTACCTGACGTTGCCTCACGGCCAGCTCATCGTGAATGATGCTTTGATATACTGTCGTCATTCATACAACAGAAGTCTTGTTGTCGGATGGGTAGACCTAAGAACAACAACATTTAAGAGGTGGTCCCACACTCCTCAAAATCTTCAATCTCCCGATCAGATGTCTTGATGCCGGAAGGTTGAACCTAGAAACAAAATCAGATAAGAGGTTGTTCCACACCCCTCAAACCTACAATCATGGGAAAAACAGTAATTAAGAAGTGTCTCCACGCTCGTCAAAACCTCCAATCTTCCGATCAGAGGCCTTGCTACCTGATGTACTTTATCGTCATACCCAGGACTGTGCGCTTCAGGTACCTCTTGGAAACGTTCTTGAACCGTAGAGCAGGGCGGCTTACCTGACGATGCCCGACGGTCAGCTCATCGCGCTTGGTGCCTTTGATATACGGCCGTCATTCATTCAATCTACGTGACCAATTTATCGAAGACAACATAAGAGATGATGTATACTCTAGGAGTCTTCTTGTTCCAGCACAAGAGTGTTGGTTAATTTATCTCGACATATAACACCGATAATACATCGTCAGCAGCATACAGGAAGCTTTCTTATTTTCTTTTAAATTACTTACAATAAAAATAAAGGCTTTGTGCCAAATATCACATAAATATTTACAAAGTTTTACATTGGTATATTGCCAAAAATAAAATTGGCAATTTTTTAAAAGTCTGCTATGGACTGTTAAAACGAGAACTAAATTCGACATGATTGATATTAAAAAACTTCTCTCAGGAACCAAGTCTATCATGGCTCTCCCCAACTTCCGACATTTTTTTAAATTTTACTCTCTCGGCATCATTCACTTTCCCACCGACATGACGTGAAAGCCCTTTGTCTTTTCTACAAATATTTTCATGTCAACTGCTCAGATGAGCTTTCTTCCTTTGGTGACCCAACTGCATGAATTTAAACGTGCTACTAGATTGGCAGTTAGGTCCCAGCGTTTTACTATTGAAACAGCTAGATGTAACTGTAAGTTGTATTGTGATATGATTCTTTTCTTACATTTCTCGTCTATATATTGATTTTCTAAACGTATGTTAAATGTGGCACAAGGCCGAAAGTATGGGGCACTAAGTAAGGATCGAACTCAATATTCAGTCGTAACTGTTTTAGCAAGACAAGCTTGTTAACCATTACACCACGAAGAAGTGCCCTAACTTCTTATCTATGTAACAGTTTTCCGATTTCCCACGCCACCTACAAACTACAAAACTATGAATGCAACATCAGTCGCCATCTTCTGTCTTTCTGAACCCTGTTCTCTTACATTATTTACATTATTCGAACTATTGTCCCAATCTTTGTTGCTATATTTGTCAAGTTTCGGCCCTTAAGTATCTGTTTATATTTCTGAGGTGAGGTATTATGTAAACTACTTACATTATTCAGACTATTATCCTCATCTTTCTCGCCATATTTATTACAACGTTTCAGCCCTTCAGTATCTGTCTATATTTCTGAGATGAGGTATTATGTACATTATTTACATTATTCGGACTATTGTCCTGATCTTTGTCGCCATATTTATTACAACGTTTCGGCCTTTGAGTATCTGTCTATATTTCTGAGATGAGGTATTATGTACACTATTTACATTATTCGGGCTATTGTCCTCATCTTTGTCGCCATATTTATAACAACGTTTCAGCCTTCCAGTATCTGTCTATATTTCTGAGATGAGGTATTATGTACACTATTTACATTATTCGGACTCTTGTACTCATATTTGCCTTGCGCGGTGTGAAATGATGACTATGTTAACAAAGATGGTTTACGCCTAATAAAACCAATTTCTCTCTCCCCTAGCTATGGGTTAATTAGTATGACTAAACTAGCTAGATAAACCGTAAGTTCTATTCTAATATTGTTTTTCTTGTACTTATCACCTGTGTAAATCTTTTTCGGCTTTCTGCGTCTCTGCCATCTCAATCAGTTATGTGCCATGCGTGATACACGCTTAAGCGATCATGTATCTTTCGATACATGACTAACAAGGCAGATTTTTTTCCCGCAGTGGGTTGCCATTTCTTTCTGCAGTAGACCAGTTGCCATTCAAGGCTATAGAACCCGGTCTCTGTTTCTATTTACCTATAGTTGGAGGGAGGAGAAGACGATTCATACCTTTCCCAAGGATATTTACATTATACATACTCTATTCTCTCAGTAATGTTTGCCTTCATTCCTGACCACTGACAATCCCTCTCTTCCTCATTTTCAATGCGTCCCTATAGTAAAATCATTAGTAATCAGCCAGTCAATTATGTCCCTTGCGTGATACACGCTTAGGCGATCATGTATCTTTCGATACATGACTGACGAGTCAGATTTTTTTTTCTCGCAGTAGGTTGTCATTTCTCTCTGCGGTAGACCAGTTGCCATCCAAAGCTATAGAACCCGGCCTGTCCTGCTATTTACCCATTACTGAGGGGAGGGGGAGAATAGGATATATACCTTTCCCAAGGGTATTAGCATGTAAGTGAGTGTAATGAATTTCACTGGAATTCGAACTCGGCTCTCATGTAACACCAATTTCCGTACAGATCACCGAAGTTAAGCAACGTCGAACCTGATCAGTACCTAGATGGGTGACCGCTTGGGAATACCGGTTGCTGTAAGCTTGGGCGTGCGAGTAGTATAATGGATAATGGCTTCGAATTAGTAATCGGGGAGCGGAGTTTTCGTACGATCACCGAAGTTAAGCAAAGTCGAGTCTGGTCATCACCAAGATGGGTGACCGCTTGGGAATACCAGGTGATATAAACTTGGTGTGCAGGTACTGTAATAGGTAATATTTCGGAATTCTTAATCAGTTCCAATTGGATTGGTTAATATGAATCCACCTCTTTACCCCTCACTATGGGTTAATTAGTAGGACTTGTATTATTAAGACATTATGTCCCCAAAACAATCCTTTGGTGTCAAGACTATATGAATTTAAACGTGCTACTCGATTGGCAACTCGGTCCCACCATTTTACTGTTGAAATAGCTCGATACAACCATAGGTTCTATTTTAATAATTTCTTTTCTCACACTTCTCATCTGTGGAAATTTCGTCCAATTTCTTGTTATCCTTCAATTTACACTCTTCAAAAATTTAAATGTAATACCAATCACCCATATTTTTCTTCCGGAAACCTGAAAAATCTCTGTCCTTTTTGTCTGCCATTTGACCAGACATGTACCTTAAGTTACTATTTCCTCAGATTGTCGTGTCTTCAAGTCCGTGTGAGTGTTAATTTTTCTAGATAGCTTTTCCTCATTATTTATCCTAGAAGTTTAATCTGTTGCGCTCCGATTGTCCCTAGGAATCAATATAGGTGTCCCCTAGGGAGAGTTTTCTAAAATGTTTCTATAAATATTCGAGAAGTTTCTAAAAGTTTTTTTTTTCTTTTAATAAATATTTTCATAGTAATTGTTGGGATGAACTTTCTTCTATGGGACGGAGAATTTATTACTTTAAGCGCAGTACTAGATTGGTGGCTAGGTCTCATCAATTCACAGTTGAATTGGCTAGATGTAGCCGTAAGTTCTATGCTAACAGTACTTTTCTCGCACATCTCACTTGTGAATTTAACTTCCGGTTCCATGCTTTCCAGCCAACATTGAACTTCTTAACTTTAAATGCAGTGTCAATCGTTATCTACTGTCTTCTTGATTACTCTTCTTCTATTGTTCTGGCTCCTTAATAATGTTTCTCTTTTTTTTTATTCTTTCACACTCAGTAACCCTTTGTATCTTAGCGGCTTTACTGCCTTACATGGGGTGAAATTGGGAAATTGTGTCCCGTGGAGTTACTGCTCTGCTTTGGGTGATATAATTAAAATAAATGAAGCATTTATTCTCCTTAACTTGCTGTCCCACAAAGCAAAATAAATGGAGGATGATGTATTCATTCCTTTTCCTAAGCCATTAGTGCATAATGAAATATTATTTTGGGATTCGAGTTTTCTTACGTCTTAACTATTGCGTTCACCACATATATACTCTTTTTTAATAGGTAAATTGCAAATAGATCAAGCAAGCTAAGAATACCATGACGGGACTTTCTTCGGTCAAATTGAATTAATGGCATGCAATGGTCGAAATCTCTATCAGTTAACGGGTTTTGATTTTTTACGTGGACCTATCTGCGAGAAGTCGTCATTCAGCCGGGCTGAATTCAACCGATCGTTTTATTAAAAATCTCGAATATCTTGCAGCCTCGCTGGGAGCCAACAACAATGTCCCGAGGCATCTCAGATAGACATTTCCGTAATTTTATTGCAGAGTCAATAAATTCCTGGATAAATTTAAAAAAAAACAAAAAACACACACACACACACACACACACACACACACACACATACACACACACACACACACACATATATATATATATGTATATATATATATTTGTGTGTGTGACTGTGTGTGTGTGTGTGTACAGTATATATATATATATATATATATATATATATATATATATGTATATATATATATGTGTTTGTGTGTGTGTGTGATGTATATATATATATATATATATATATATATGTTTGTGTGTGTGTGTGTGTGTATGTGTGTTTGTGTGTGTGTGTGTGTGTGTGTGTGTGTGTGTGGGTGTGTGTGTGTGTGTACCTGGTGTAACAGCAAAATTGTTCAAATCGTGTAACACCATAATTATCGATCACACAAAATGTTTAATATCTAAAATATCACTAAACTAATTCTTTTTTTTCTTTATAGATTTTCAGATAAAACATTTAACCATCTTGACACTATTTATCGTAAGAATCACAGACAAAAAATACCTTTGCGTTATTCTTGAAAGAGAACAAGTTAAAATCATTTTGTGTCACCTCCACTATGTTTCCCCAACGGAGCAATGGTGAGAGGAAAGAGATCATTCAGGCCTTCAGTAATGTTACCAACATACATACACTGTCTTCCATCTTCAAGACCATTCAAGAACAATCAAGAAAACGATGGATAAGTTTAAAAAAGTGGGGACAGTAGAGAGGAAACCTGGATCAGAAGGTCACAACAGGAAGAGGGATCATCTTTTCAACTTTGGGCTAAACAGATCAATTAGAAAAGATCCAACCCAATTCATAAGACGTCAGAGATGAGTTTCAGCTATGACATTCGTCTGAGTTCTGTTCATCACAGTTGAAATGATGATCCCTCTTCCTGTTGTGACTTTCTGCTCTAGTTTTCCTCTCTACTGTTCCCCCCTTTTTAAACTTATTAAAATCTTGATGGTTCTTGAATGGATTTTGAAGATGGAAACCAGGGTATGAATGTTGGTACCATTACTGAAGGACTGAATGATCTGTTTCCTCTCACCTTTGCTCAGTTGGGAAGACAGTGGGCTGACACAAAACGATTTTAAACTTTTCTCTTTTTAGATGTGTTATGGGAACTTACCCATAATAATAATGGACTATTCCTGACATTATAAATACTGCGCCTCTCAAGAGGTATGAGGAGATTGTAAGACGAAGAGAGATAATTGAGAGCATATTGTAAGGACATTGGAATAGTGATACTTGTCGAGACAACATAGTTCAATCTAACCAAATCTGATAGTCATTACTAATACTTCTACTTCTTTTGTATTATATTTCTGTTGTAATATATCTTTGTATTCCATACCTGTATTCGTGTCAATATTTCATTCTTCTAACCTTGGACCATCACCGTGGTACAAGGAACTTGGACCATAACAAGATGGATAACTGAAATGGTTTCAAGATGGCTAAACGTCTTTTTTTGGAAACCTAAAAAAAGACACTCTATTGGTTTAGTGTGTTTTTTTTTTAGATATTAAAAATTTTGTGGGATGGATAGCTATACTGTTATACGATTTGGACAATTTTGCCGTTACACCGTATATATATATATATATATATATATATATATATATGTATAATTAAAAAACAATAAAATCACAAATCACCTCATATGGGGCATAGACTATTTCGGCAGACGTAAATATCGCTATTCTGTCTTATCAACCCCAGTGTGGACTGAGATTTTATCGGAAATAGAAATTTAACTGTGAAAGCTAAAAATCTAATACAGGATTTATCTATTTCAATGTTTCATTCAGACGAAATGCGCGAGGCAGCGGTCAGGGGAGGGTGGAAGGTATTTGTCTTAAAGGGAAGAAGTCTTATAAAATTAAACCTGAATTTTAACCTTATGACAATAATTTGGGTTTATATGGAGAAGGAATTATTAATTTAAAATTCAACGAGAAATAAAAAGGGATTTAAAAATAAATTTAGAATATATAGATAAAAGGATGTATGGGATTAACGGAAAGACAGTTGGGGAGTATTATAGTAGGGGCAAGTTTATAAATTGTAATTAATATAGTGAAAAGAAGTTATACTAAAGTGGGATTATAGAAATTAGAATTAGTTATACATTCGATATTTGAAGAGTTACAGAGGAGTGAATATTATGGAAATATGGTAGCTGATTAAGTAAACATATATTATGGAAATTTGAATTTGTTTTTATGTCGACATTTTAACACTAATTCATTCCTCTAATTCAGTAGTCGGCATTGATTATTGTTTTTATTTATTTAATTTTTTCTTCTGAACATGTCACACTTATCACTAAGACTATGTGTGGAACCTATAATCTTCCAAATTATCTGTGGGCTCAAACCTTTCTCTTTCAGTTCCCAAAATTTCTTTGAAAGAGGTGTCTGATGCGTTAGTTTAGGGTTAGAAAATGAGTGCGTACGGGTATAAAATCTCTGTTTCCATTCCCACGCCTAAATTCCAATGTAAACATTCTATTTTTCATATTTACTTTGGAGGAAATGATCGCATGATAAATAACCCTGGTAGATTTGTATTTAGCATCTACTGGACAATTTTCTTTAGATCTACAATTACATGAGGGTTCAATACCAAGTTTTTTTTTTGTCCCATAAGACTTTCTTAAAATATGGTTATTGTGTCAATTAATAATTATATATATATATATATATATATATATATATATATATATATATATTCGACGGCAATAATACTTTTCCAACAATCTAATTTGGAGATATTTGATCTGATGCTTGGATGTTTTGGTTCCTCTTTTTATGAGAGAATGTCGAAATTGCGTTGTATTGTTGTCTTTGTTCGCTGCCGGATCATATAATTTGAATAAGGTGTATTTCAGTGACACAACAAAATGGCGTCGTCCCCTCATAGAAAGAGGGATCAAAACATCGAAGGATAACATCAAATATCTTCAAATGGAATTGTCGATGTCATTTAACCAAACATGTTTGAAAGAATTATTATTGCCTAAATACACCTTATTTAAGTGATATGAGCCTACAGCGAACAATGACAGCAGCACGAAAGAAAGAAAGAAAGAAAGAAAGAAAGAGTGTATGTATAGAGAAAGAAAGAAAGAAAAAAAGAAAGAAAGCGTGTAAGTATATACTGAGGAAGAAAGAAAGAAAGGAAGAATATATGTATAGGTTAGAAAGAAAGAAAGAAAGAAAGAATGTATGAAAAGGTGAGAAAGAAAAAAGGAAAGAAAGAATGAATATATATGTATATATAGAGTGAGAAAGAAAGAAAGAAAGGAAAGAAAAAAGAAAGTGTGTATGTATAA